TTGTTAGGATATAATATATATGATACCATTCCTTTGGTAATTTTACTCATTGTTACAAATTTAAAAACCAAAGTAATGGTCTTACAGGTATTTCAGGGAGAAGATAAATTGTATTTTACTGTTAATAATATATTCTAATTATCTAGAAGTTCTATGCATCAAAGGCCAATTCACTCACATGTAAGGGATGCAGGGAGGCTCAGTCTCTGCAAGGGCCTGCCTGTACGCTTTGAATGAGGACGAGCTATCAATCAGTTCACAAAATTCCTTCAGGGCATCCATGTTTTGTCGCTGCCATTCCAGCCGTCTGATTGGAGCAGAATCCACAGCCGAGAGGAGGGCCAGGTAAGAGTTGAAGTTGTTATATTTTCTCAGATACTGAAAAGATATCAAACATTTTTAATATTGACAGAAGTCACATCTATCTTCTCCATTTTTAATGTTTAAACATTCCATTTCTATCTCTTAGTCTACATCCAAGATTGGGAAAGTCACTTCATGTTCAAACTGTATAATTAACATTCTTAGACTACTTATATCCTACAAATAATAATGGCCTCCAAGCCTCTCTAGATTATTTTTATCTGTATCTTGATCTACTTCTTTATTTTCCTAATTTATCAACAATAATGAGAGAATATGGCTTTTGATTACATGCATTTTTCTCATTTCTGAAATTCTTTCAAAATACTCTAAAATATAATTCTCCCTTACCTTCATAATTTTGATGAACTTGATAAAATATCTCTCTCTCTCTCTGGGGTCCTCCTGTTTCAGTATCAGAGACCTACACCAGTATGACATCTTGTTGAAATGTTCTGTGAACTCCGTAAGATTGGGACAACTTTCCTCAGACTGCTCTCTGGACCATCTTAACATCTCTGGGATCTGAAGAGAGGGAGGTAACAGAATAATAATAATTCTTTTTAAAGTTGCACTTCACATGTGCCTTACATAAAACCATACAGAGATAAAGAACTTCAGATCCGAATAAAAAGTTGATGTTATCATAATAGCACATTTTACATCCTATAAAAATGTTTCACAAATAAAAACATTTCAGTCCCAGATAGAGAACACTATAGTATTCTATAACACAAAGCCATCTGGGTTGGTTAGCACTACCATATAGCCTGTTCTTAGGCTTCTTCTGGATAACACTGCACAGTCAGGTTAAAATTCTTCTTGCGCATTTAATAAAATAGAATCCTTTACTGTATTTAATCACTGCTATGTCTTCACCCCCCGCTCCCATCTCCACCCCTAGCCACTGCCTCTCCAAAGGTACCAGTACCCCTACCTCTATCCTCTGGAAGAGCTCTGCATCCATCAGTGTCATCTGCTCTGCTATGTCTTGTGACTTGAACAGGGTCAGGTGCATGGGTCTGAAGAAATTACATAAATCACTGGGTAAAAAATATCTATAATAAAAAAAGAGCCTTTTCCTCTTAAGGGAAGTAGTAACTTTATCAATACAAAACACCAAAAATGTTTTCAGGAAGTTTACACCCTATGCCTATAATATGTGACTTAAAATCTCATAATCTTGATGGAGGAAATCTTATGACAAATTTGATGAAAATCATAATTGCTCTTTGGCGTGTTACTGTGAGCAAGGAATATACTGAAACATGTCAATATTTTGTTTCAGGTTTGAATAATGTTTATTGTAATTATATTCCTGAACATTTAATACACTTCTCAAAGGCAATATTAAATCAGATAAAATCCAAGTTAATTTTTTACTCGATAATGTAGATATTACCTTGAAGTTAGACTATGCGACGTCAGTGATGACATGTGATGTGTTATCTGATGCAGTTTTCTGGTCTCCACCTTCTCAAGAGCCTTCTTCCTCAGAATACGTGCCAGCATGAGTTCCCCGTCACACAGGAGCTGACAGACCTGGTCCAGCAGTGTCTGGATGCACTGCTCATTTAGCTCACTACCACTGGAAGTCAAATGAGTTTTAAAATAATGTCCCCAAACAGAACTCTGACACCTATTCTGTGGATATTGATATCAAAACTTTCTCTTGCAAAGGTGAAGAAAAGAAGCTATTTAAAGAAACAAAACAGACCTTTTCATTAGAATTAAGCAGAGATTTCATATATCTACTGTTGGGAACTTTTAGGACGTGATATTTTATAATGCTGGATAACATAAGTTGTATATTTTCGTCACATTCATAACTGAATACAAACTCACCATAACTCATCTACTACTCTGACTAGAAGTGAAAACGCGTTCCTTGAAAGACGTTTCTTTCCTGTATCTGACATATTGGCAAACTTCTGGTATCTATAGAGCAGCTTGTTGATGAGATCATCAGGAGAGATAAAAGTTCTGTAGGTGGTAAGGAATGCTTCTTGATACATAAAATCTGAAAAATGAAGCAGACGTCCATTTGTAACCACATTAGCAACTTGTTGTCTGTGACTCTTGTTTCACTAGATAAGACAGTTTTCAGAAAACAAGCCTTTGCCTACTATTTGCTTTTCCTACTACTTATTTTGCTTCTGTTATGTTTTATCAAAATGAAAATAAAGATTCTTATTCTACAATAATTTCTTTTCAAAAATATGCCTTTTCTTTTCTGTTTGAAAAAAATCTAAATTAGGATTCAAATATAGGCATTATTACTATGATAATAAAGTAGAAATCAAAAGCCAAAACATTGAATGCTTTTAAACCAGCTTGTAGCAATTTCTTTTAATATCACTGAGGCGTGCAGGTTTAAGCAAATTTCAAAATTCAGCAAGTCTTGTTTGGATCTATGTCAAATTCAATCCAAGTCTCTGACTTTTAACAAATCATTTTTAGAATCAATAGTTTCTGTATTGTTCTCATCTGTGAAATAGGCTAGAGAGTGTGCTATCTTGGATATGACAAAATACAGATAAATGTGAATCTTTCTGAGAAAAAAATCAAAATAGGGTAAATGATTATTTTATGGTAATTAGTTCTTTGTATGCCCCTAGAACAGAAAATTTAGGTAACGTGAATAAAAACAATCGAATCAAAGGTGTGTTTTATTAGTAAACACATTTAATTTCAAATTGTTCAAATTGATGGGATAAACATTGAGAGAAATTATCAATGGTTGACAGTTGTGGACAATTATGTCATTTAATAGGGAATTATCATTGCCATTATTTTTTGAGACATGATAGAGTGTCTCTCACAGAAACATTTTATTTGAGGTTGTATGAACAGAAAGATCAATGATCCATCATGCTTGGTAATAATATAAGTAAAACACATACAGCAGAACTTCCACAATCACCCTGTTTTTTTTTTAGAGCCTAACTGAGACCATATTATTAACAAAAATGTATTCAGGATCTTCTGATTATATTTCTAATAGAGAAAAGTTCTCTGTTAGGCTTCGGAACTCAGGGTGATTGCAATGTACTCAATCAAAATAATACCACCATTATGTCAAACATTCAGACAGATCATTTTCTCAACCTAGCCACAAATCAATGCAGATATTATATGGAATGATAGAGGGGAAGTCAGGGCTTGACACTAACTTTTCTCGATACTGGCCCGATATATCGCTAAATATTGCAAGGATGATTTGACACATGACATTTCACTTGCTCTTTGGGCCAGTGACCCCATCGATTCAATGGCCCTAGTTTGGTTTTCAGTGGCCCAGGGCCAGTAGGCCACCCTTAATGTCAAGCCTTGGAAGTTTGGGAGGATTTTAAGATAATTAGATGTCATGGTCTATGTCATGATCTCCATGGTTACCCTGTCTGCATGCTATAAAGAACAGCGTACATTTTATATCCATACTATATGGGTCACTCCACAGTATTTTTCCTTCTACATCATGTACCTTATGTAAACAGTTTCTATCTCTTCTTATCTCATAAAATTGGAATGAAATATACTATTTCCCTGAACTTAAAGGTGGGAAATACAGCAAACAAAAGTTATGGGCAGGTGGGTGAGGGGAAGGGGGGGGGGAAGGAGGAGAAAAAATACTGTGGAATGATTCATACGATGTTGAGACTAGGTTTAAACATAACTCTTTTGGGAATTAGACCCCTGGGGTTTTAAATGTTCATTTTTTTATCATAACACTAAACACAGTCAATTCCACCATGCACCACCTCATAACATAAACAACAAATACTCAGTCTTCATTATTTAAGTTTCAACACACTGTCAGATGGATTTTACAATGAGAAAAAACACCAAGCCACCATCAAAGCAGGCAACTTTCCCTTGCAGAGTCATATCAATTAATTTTTATGGATCAAAAACAGTTTTGATAATGTTGTAATTGTAATTTATTTGGAATTAAGTTAATTCTTAAAATGCTTTAAATATAATTTTTTTTTTCTTGTAAAACACAAGTCTTGTAATACAATCTGCATGCAGCCAAGAGTCCATCATATGCATTTCAATTTTCTGTTTTACACCATACATCTCCCAAACATTTCAAACACAGCAAATGGAACTGAATACATCCAACTAACACTTCTACACAACAAAAACAAAACTTAACCATATGCTTTTAAACATTGAAATATCAACCAAATACATTGAATGACCACTTATGAGCAGCAAATGGCTACCTGTGCACAATGAGGCAGCTGCACTTTTACAACTGGAACTAGCTAGTTTTACTCAAGAAGCATCAAAACTGTCTAACATGGAACACTACATGATAAGGAGATATTAGTAGATGAATCAAAGGAGGGATATTGTGTTAGATGTGACAATTGTTTTGGGTGTGACAATAGCATTGGGTGTGACATCCATTGCGTAGAATTTATACCTGGGTCATCGTCACATTCTATCCCACTCTCTGGAAAAGACAATACACAAGTGGCACAGAGTTAGTACATGGTGACACAGTGGCAAAGTGACACGTGACAGACACAACATGCTGGGGAAGCCAAGTATTTATGCTACTATCCTTATTTACACATATGAACAGTGACTAATCATAATATAATCACTGTATCAAAGCTTAAGAAAAAGGTTTCAGTATTTGTTTCTATTACTACCAAAAGCATATAGTTGTAAGCAACATTTGCTGCTACTTAGCTTATCAGACTTCTCAAAGTAGGAATTATAGATGAATTCAGTGTAAATAAAATATGTAATAAAAATATCTCAAAACAAATTAGTGCATTTTTTGTCCATTTGATATCACATCAAAGTACAATTTCCACATTTTTATTCTAAAAAAAATGTTGAAATCTCTGTACATTTCTTATGTGTTGTGAGTAAAATAAGCAGACAAAAATGGAAAACTTTCTTTTTTCCATCTTTGCTGAGAACATGTGCAGTAGTAAAGTTAGAATTGCTATCAGCAAAAGTAAACTACATTTTACAACTAGATTCAGGCAGTCTCATTTAAACAGGTTTGTGACAAAATTCATAACTATCTAAATAAACAACTACTGCTGAATTTTTGTCAGTAACACCAGCTTCAGTTGTTTTAAATTAGCTATTAGTATTGTTATACTACATAAAAGGTCTGAAACACAACAATGTTAGTAACTGTTTATTCTACACACAACTTTACTGCGCTGTGTACATAACGATTTTCCACTGACAGCTTTAATCAAATCAATCAAAATCCACTCTTCTCAGTTATCTTCAAACTGGCAATTATTCAACATTATCAAACAACATGAATAAATACCCCTTCCCCCCAAATTATGTTAGTAATTTTTTTTAACTCAAAAGTTTTGAAAAGAAAGTTGGTTTCATACAAAAAAGTGATAATTTTTTTGTGATTTCAAAAATGTCAGAAGTATATTTTTGTGACTTGAAAATTCAAGAAAAAGTGAAGTGTTTGAAAATGTTCAGTAAATACCGTATTACCCATCACAGCCATAAACAGATACCCATATTAACCCCTATTGTAGTTGCTAATCACAGTTTATGTCCAGTCACCTACCATGTTTGCCTGCAGCCGTAGCATGAACAACCAAAGCATCTACCGATCCTCCACGGATTTCAGGACCAGATTCACCCTGCGATCAATAACAACATGCTATAAGTTCTCCCTGGATTATTTTTCTATTTTTGTAATTCATTTAGGTATAATTTAGTTAGCTATTATTTAACCATAAAATTTTGTCTTTCCCCCAACATTTGATAACTATATTTTATTTTCTCTAGTTTTAACTGGTAAAAAAATCTCATGATATTAATAATGGAAAAATGCTTACAGACAAGCATGTATTACTATTTCTGCAATCATAATAAAAATGCATTTTCATAATCTTCTTAAATATTTAATAATATAATAATACACTATATGCAGCAGATGGGGGTTGGGGTGAGAGGGTGGACAGAGGGGGTGGTGGGGGTGGTACAACTGTGACATATTGTAATTGCAATATCAATGAAAACAGCCCAGGTGTGGGTGACTGAAGATACAGACTGTCATTTTAAGCAAACAATGTTGTATTTTAGTATCAGAACTTCACCTTTTTCTTCCTAACCAGCTGGTCAGAGACATCCACATCATCAAGGGGGTTTAGTTCTGCAAAGTCCGAGTCTGTGTCTTTCTCTGGTGTGGATGACTCAGGCTCTTTGGTTTTTGGTGGGAGTAAAAATTTAGCTGGCTCTGACTCACTGGAAGAATTGTATATACATACATGTAGTATTCATGATCAAAAAATAAATAAATGTGAGTAAAATTGGTATTTATATTTGACCTCATTTGTGTATTTCTCTTTATTGCATTTTGTTATATCACTTCTATTTTCTCCCTCTTTCAATATTTTATTAATCACTGATAATGTATTTTAAATTAACAGGCTCAATCTATTATACTAAGCAAGACAAAAACATGAACTTTTGAGTAACCTTTAAATTCTTCTTAATATTCTACATTTTTCTCAATTTAATTCAAATGCAGTTCTTGAAAATGTTTTGACTTACACAACTGTACTTGGAGGGCCTAAACTATCAGAACGAATACTATCAGATCTTAGACTATCAGACCTCAGACTATCAGATCTAAGGCTTTCAGTTCCCAAACTCGTAGTGTCATCAAAGGACCCTGTTGTGCTGACAGAGTCCATGAAAGAGGAAGTGTCAGACGTCCCCGAGTCGGTGGTGAAGGTTGTGTTATTTCTACCAGACTTCTGTCTCTAAAAATTAAAGGAGATAAATTTTTAGGTGGGATAAAATTAAATTCAGTTTTTTTACCAGAGGAAATCATTCCAATGAGATCATGGTAACTCCTGACACTATAAATAACTAAATGAAGAAATTAACAAAAAATTATAATACATTTATAAGAATAAAGAAAAACATGGACGATAACAACAACAACAACAAAAATACAAAAAAAAAAAATGTTGAAATTGCTGAAATTTTCAATTTGTATTCCTCTAACCTTTCTTACCAAGGTTCGTAGTTTGGGTGGGAGGGCTGGTACATGGAGACTGAGCAGGTCGTCAACCGAGGCTCCACTGCCAATTGAGAAAAGATCCGACTCCGGCCGCGTCAGGTCAGATATCAGGCTCATGGTATGAGAGCGAGGGTGAAACAGCTCCATCTGGTGTTGATACCACTGACTCTGGTAGTAGTTCTCGGAGTGTACAGAGTGCCGTGTGAAGTCATGGTGGGATGTAGGGTGGGAATAGTTGCCAAACATCTGCATGTACGCCTCAACTGCAAGGTTCATTTGGGAATTGAATAAAGATTTATAATAATTTTGCTTATTATTGACAGAATATGCTTACAATTTGGCATTTTAAATGCTGAAGACTTTTATCAATGACATCTAATGTGGATCAAGTCATATCAACTGATGTCTTTTCGGCAATCTTTTTTTTTCTTTTTTGTATATATTATCAATACATACCTTGCTATATGGATACAGACAGAATATGCAGCTTAAGAGCATAAATGTAATTTGAACATAATCAATGATGTCAACTGGTTACCACACTATTCACAGTAAGTTACTATCTGCAAGAAAACTTAGTACTCACCATGTCTTTTCTTTGGCGGAAGTGGTGGGGGTTTTTGTAAACTTTGAGAACTCTCTGTGCTGGAAAGGGTCCCTATGGAAGATGTCTCTGTACTAGAGAAGGACCCTTGTGATGTGGTGAATTGAGCAGATTTGGAGTACATTGCCTTTTGCTGAAAACTAGTGTAAGAAGCAGTGCTCTGGGATGTCTTCATTTGAGCTACCCCTGTAGCAGACGATACTGCAGTAACTGTAGATGTCACTACTGGAACCAAGACAGTCCCTGGATCTACATTGTCATAATCTGATGGATATCTCGTCCTGGTTGCTGAAGCACTGTTTCTCTTTTCTGGAAGAGGAGGGGGTTGTTCTATCCCAGTAGTTAGAGACTGAATTTTTTTCGTTAATTCATTTATATCGTCAATACCTCCTCCTCCTGAAGTTGTACTAGTAGAGCTTGACCAAGATGCTGTGTGATGAATGAAATGTGCCTGTGTAAATCCTTCCATTAGGTTTTCCTCAGATTTACTACTGTCTAACAAATCCTCTCGCGACTGATTCAAACCAGATCCTACACTACTTGCTGGTGAAGTACTAAGCGGAGACAAAAATGGAGGACTCAGATTTAAAGAGTCAAGAGTAGTTGTGCTTGTTGTGCCCCCAAAAATACTGCTATGTGGAGAACGGTGTGAGATAGGCGTAGATGAAGATCCCCCTTGTGACGGGTTATACTCCATTACATTTGAATTTGAGCGCTTCTTTCTTGGAAGAGGAGGAGGGGTCTCCCCTTCTGTTTCAGGGGAGTCCATACTGTGTGCTGAACTACAAATGAAAAAATAATGATAGAAAATAAGTAAATAAATATACACATATAAACAATTTCAATAAATCAAATGATATTCAATGTAAATTGACAACAGCTGAAGAAAAATAATCATAAACCTTCCATTGAGGTCTTTATTCACTTTTATGAGACTCCATCATAAAATGAAGCACTTTCACATTTTGTACGTTCTGTTCAAAAGCTGATAACATTTGCCTAAATCTGATTATCCGGTGGTCAAATTACCATGGACTTAATTTGTGTCTATAAAAAAAAATATATATGAAACTAGGTCTGCAATATCTAAATTTCAGCAGGCCAGCTTGCAATACCTCCAGAATTTTCCACCAAGTCTGTGATCTAATCATGATCAGTAACCTCATATTTCCTACCTTCTATTCATCAGTGGAGAAACTCTGTTTTCAGGAAGCGGTGGTTTTGGAGGCGGTGCCCCTGGAAGAAGTGTGTTGTTGTTTCCATAGATGTCTGAGTCTTTAAAACCAAAGTTGTTATCGTAATCTCCCATGTTAGTCTGTTCTAGAATTTCTCTTTCCCTTGGAGTGAGTGGGATGTCTGGGAGAGAGGTTCTACCTGGGCTGTGAAAGAGAAAAATGTAACACTTGAAACGTTGAAAGAATATTTATAAACTAGAGGATCAGAGAGGCGATACCGCCTCCGAATATTGTACCACCAGCTGGAGCAAGCGCATTCGTATAGACCCCCACATACACAAAATAAGGAACACAGCCACCAGTCTTGTGCTTGACAAGCTGTAAAAATGCAATCAACAAGAATTTTCAAAATATGCAAAAAAAAAAAATATATATATATATAACTAAAAATGGTACAATCAAAGTTAAGTTCATCGTAAGGTAGGTCAAAGGTCAATTCCAAGGTCACAGTAAATTGCCAGTATATGACTTCCTATTCAACTTCAATAGTAACTATGGGCCTATCTCTGCCAGGTTTGGAGTTAAAAGAGAAAGAAATTAGCAGAGTTCAGTTCATGATAATAAGTAGGTCAAAGGTCAATTTCAAGGTCACACTTAGATTGCCAGTATATGACTTCGTATTCACGTTCAATAGAGACTATGGACCTATCTCTGCCAGTTTTGGAGATAAAAGGGAANAGGGGAGATAATTAGCATTTAATTTTGCCATTTTTGGACAAGGGTGCATTGCAATGAGTGCCACACCTAGACCCCAATACCTACAAAGCCCAAATTTTACGTGGAACGAGTTGAGATTATACGTGACCTAAATCCAAGAGATGGGTATGGAGGCCCTTACCGTCTAGGAGGAGAAGCGGTAACGGTGACTTGGCGGCGGAGCCGCAGGAGCCGGCGGAGCCGCAGGAGCCGGCGGAACATACGGGTCGGGACTAAAACCATGTGTACCGCCAGCGCCTACGCTGGTTGTACATAAGAACCATTGTTCTTGGTATGAAGGCATTGTCTCAAATGAAAATTATAGCAAGAAAGAAAAAATAATAGTTTTTCAACTTAAGTTACTATTTACAAGAACATTATGCTTTAGTTCAAGAGATTTCAAATACCTTTCTATTCCCGAAAAACATTGAAACAAATGTCAACAAATATTCCAAATACTAAAATGTACCTTTCAGGGTTACTAGTAGAAGAACCTCTGGATCCTGCAGACTTTGGAAGAGATAAGTACGACTTGTTTTGGAGCTTGTCAGATGAAATCTGAACCCACTCCTGAAAAAGAAAAAAGGATAAAACATCTGTAACTGCCATTTTCACACAGCAAATCAAATGCAACAATATTTTCTTATTCACTAAGCAACTTAACAAAGATACTTTGGAACTTAGTACAGAAAACAATGCCAAATGATCCTTAGTTGCAATTACCATTAATCCTTGAAATACTTGCTCATTGATCTCTGCTGATTACAAAAATACCCCACCCTCAAACCAATTAAATACTCCAAAAATATGAAAAAAAAAAAAAAAAAAAATGAAAACAAAACAGTGACTTTCTAATTTGAGTACATTTTTGAAAAGGGCACAATTAGCAAAGACAAATACACCACCTACATGGATGACTCTGATCAACATTTTAATTTTGTATAAATAAATAAATAAAATATATAAATAAATAAACAAATTATGTAATTAATTAATTACAAGTCTACCTTCAGTGCATCACTGACAGCTTTGATGATTTCAGCAGCGCCATCTTTATTCAGCGGCTGTTCCTCATTGAGGATGAAGGTGTCTGCCCACTTGACCAGTTGTGCCAGCTTCTGGTATACTTTGTTCTGACTGGACAAAAGGACAGAACTAGAAGAAAAACAAAATTATCTTATTGAAACATTATAAACAAACAAATGCAAACAAAAAAATTCTAATGCAAGAGGACAAGCTGATGCATAACACTTTCCGACTGTAACTTAAAACATCAGAAAATATCTTTACAAGTCTTACCCTTCAGAATGCCAAACCCAAACTAACAGTATGCAACTCTCGACTGAATTTAAAGCCTTAAATGTTACGTATAAATGGTGCTACAGAATACTTAAATTACTTAAAACTAGTTTATTTAGGATGCCTCGCCAAACAAATGGACATAAATCTGTGAGCTGTACACAGCTGCAATACTGAGTCACATTGGCAAGGGAAACCTGTTGTTAAGATTTTCCCTGTGCCAAATTGTAAAATGATCCCAAATGTTATTAAGTGATTTTCAATCCAATGACATTTATTTAGCCAGATATACACCCCCTGTCAGCCATACCTGTTATGAAACACAATATATTCAACATCTTATTTTATTATGAGTTTAGGGTACAATGTCCAAGTCATTGCATGGGTAAAAACTGAGAATCAAAAATTTGATTTCATTTGAAAGGAAAACCTTCAGGTCATGAATTCTAGAGGTAATACCAAATTATAGCAAAAAAAAAAAAAAAAAAAAAAAAAAACTTATTAAAAATGGAAAAAAGTTATAAATGACTGATGTTTCCTTAATTATACCTAAGCATGGTAACAGTACAAATCAGCTCATACTGTGACTCTGATAAACAGCAGTGTGGAACTGAGTCATGGCAATTATCTGGCTCTAGTTAGATTGTAAAATGTCCAAAATATGATAGTCCTAGGAATAGAAGTCCAGATACCATATATAAATATAGGTATTGGGGTTGGTATATGGGACTATTGTCAGCTGTACAAAATAAAGGAAAATGGGCAATGGTTCAAACTTCCTATTGGTCCTGTCATACAAAAAAGTCTGAGGAGCACTTGAAACCAAAACTTCACATTTGTACACAAATAATTCAAACAAGGTTTACTGAATCACAGACCATTGTATTTTATCAGCGGGCATCACAGAGCAATGAATTTTATCAGCACACATCATTTTGTGTTATCTCAAAATGGCTCTGTCCCCGAACACCTGCAGAAAAGTGCCACATTGAAATTTCAGAGTGTAAACATCTCTGAATTTGCTGTTACATGAGGAAACCATTATTGTAACTTTCAGTGCATAACACAGCTGATGAAAACCACTTGCTGGATGGACTGTAAGAACAATTTACCTGTCTTGGTTTATAAAGTAGGTTCCAAGGAGGACTGGATGGACTGTGAGAACAATTTACCTGTCTTGATTTATAAAGTAGGTTCCAAGGAGAGAACTGAGATCCATCACAGCCTCCAACACCACCGTCACCGCCTCAGGAATCTGTTGAATCATCACCCCCTTGACCACCGCCTTCTCCAGGTACCCCAGGTACTGGAACACCTTCTTTGACTCCTGCTTGAGCTTTTCTACATTCTGAAAGAAAAATACAAACATATTAAATGTTACAATTAATAAGGATTTTTTCCAGGTACTGAAAACAGATTCAAACACAATAAATATTTTAATATTTATTGTTTGAATCTGTTTTCAGTATTATCTTTATCTTTAAAAAGATAAATATGGATTTTTTTCTAAAAACGTCAGGTACTGGAACATCCTCTTTGACTCCTGCTTTAGCTTTTCTACATTATAAAGGTAAAATTCAAAACAAAATAAAGAGGAATAAACATGCTCTAGAATGTCTGGAACATCCTTTTTCACTGCCATTTGAGATCCTTTAAGTTCTGAAAGAAATCAAAGCCAAAAAAGGTTTAAAAATTACTATTCTATGTGCTCAGTTTACCTGTGCTTATAAATACCCTTATAACAAAGCAGCTATTGTTCAGAATACAATTTTGTTTGGGTTTGGGTTTCGCACAGGATAAGAGGCAATCAGAATTCAATACTATATAATATTCAAGTTGTACACAATGACAACAAGAGATTGGAGTTACCTAAAAGAGACACAACTTGCATTCACTTACATATTCCTCCTCCAGCATCCAGCATTCAACATATTCGTCTCTGTACAACCTGACATACCAGGTTGGGGTAAAAGAGATTTCAGAAATACCAATGTCGGATTCAGAATCAGAATCTGAGTCAGGCTCTAGAATACCCATCATACTTCCAAATCCTAGCTTTGCCCAGTACTCTGTGCTTTTTATGAAATCCATTCTTGTAATACAATGATTCTTGAATGATTCCTTATATCTGATTCTCTGAATCCCTAAATCTATTCAAAATGAAGACTGCCTCTTGTATCCACAGTTTAAAGTATGCCCATGTGTTGGTTTTGAATCCTTTAAATCTCAGTTATTTCCCAAAAGGGTACCAAAGCACTTTCAAACTCTTCAAAGTGTTCCTTGTGATAGGATTTGTACTATCTGGAACTTAATTTCTCACTGTCTTAGTCATCCTCTTTTGCACTGTCATGTGATGGGTTGTATGACAGTTTAGTTAAAAATCAAATGGAGAATCTCTGCATGGCCAATGAACTGACATTCCACCAAGCTGGAATATGTCTTCCTGCAGCTAGCTTGTGGTCTATGTTTCACTGATGCAACAAGAAATTTGACCAGGTACATATACAACCTTTGTGATTATATTTTAAAATGCAAAGTTGAAAGTCAATTTAAGATCCATAATACACAGATTTCTGTGAGAAATACAGTCCTATGCTGTCAGCTGCTTGCATTTTAAGACGCCATTTACCAGTTGAGCTACCTATCAAAAGTGTCTCCCCTTTTCCAAAATGAAGGTTCAAATAAGATATTACATGCTTCATTCAATCAGCTAGATGATATCAGCCAAAATATACAAAGCTGTAGACAAATCTATATAAAATATAGCGATAACTCTTCCCATAATCCCAGCATTCAGAATCCGGTGATGTGACCATAAATAACATCTGAGCTCGAAAGAATTCTGAAGTCTTTACTTTGGAACGAAGTTCTAATTTGGGTCAATGGATCCTTTCAAAGTCATTCTAAAAGTGCCCTGTTGTTGTTTGATGGTGTAAATGGAATGCCAAAACAAGTTATCATTTTCATCACTCCATAAAGGACAACTCTTGAAAAAAAAAGTCACTTGGCGATCCTATATGCTAAGCAAGTCTAAGGCTTTACTCCCAGATAATCCGGCTTAAATGTCCGTCCCGCCTACTACAAGCTGTAAGGGGGTAATTAACTTTTGTGTCCGCTCGGCTGACAACTATTTAGCTTGAACCCCCAGGGAGTTAAGTCGATCTAAAGTAGATCGATCTAATCTCTGGAAATGGGGTCTATGTATCACTTCTTGTTTTTTAGCAGCTGAGTATAAGTATGCATGTACTTTCCATTTTCAAATTTTGTCCATAAAAATGTTTTCTCAATGCGTAACCTCTACAGTATCCACTAAAACTGAGACTGGTCTGGTAAAAATTGCTGAGATGAAATTGGTGTAGATGAAAACAACCCAGATACTGACACTGCAACTGGACTTCAGTCTCTTAAATTATATACTGCCAGATTTAACTTTCACTCCTGTATATAAAGGTTTATCTCTCTGGTATTATCTCTCATGGATAATCTCTGGAAATCCTCTAAATCTGTTGTGCCTCTCTGATGCTATCTGGATCATATGAGTCGTGGTAATCAAAGGCACACAGTATATATATATATATATATATATATATATATATATATATATATATATATATATATATATATATATATATATATGTACCTATATATATACAATGTAAGCTCAACCTGCCTACAACTCCTAAGTGTGTGCTATATTTTCATATTCTATGTCACACTTATACCATGTTAAATTAAAAGATTTTCATAAATATTGATTTACTATGTTTTTTATTGCAATTTGCAACCTCTTCAATTAAAATGCTTTTAGTCAGTAAAGATTCAAAGTAATTTACTCCTTCTAAATAACATTTCCAATCTCAGAAAATAAAAGATTTATCAATTGGTTGTGCAAAAGGCTTTAATTCATTAAAGATTGGCTTTTATGCACTAATAAAGTCAAATTCACATCCATCCAGGCACATAATTTTTTTAAAAATTAATTTCATGGCTTTCAGGTCAAATTTTTTTTGGGTATACCCCTCAAATTCTAGTACAGTAGGCAAACAGAACAGAATAGAAAACAATGGCCAATAAACTCTTAATCAGACCATTGATAACACAGTTTCAGTAAATAAATACAATTATATCCTTTCTCAATTTATCCAATCAGGAAGACTCCTGAATCACCCAATCATATGTAGTATTACATATTTCAGACAAGTTATAAATATGATCAATGTACCCATTCCTTACAATACCTGTATCATTCACAGATCTATCATAACCACACCAGGGATATCTAGGCTCCAATGGCAGTATATAGGTCTGGCTGCCAACTCATTTCCATGTTTACTACTAATATTTTCCTCATTATCAGTGATACATAGTCTATAGATTTAATTAAGGTATATGACTAATCAATCAACTTCAAATGTAGATTTCTCTAAAAGCTGGTTTATAAGTAAAAAAGTAAAACTATCAATTTACAAGTAAACCCTCTATATTTTATTTACCTAAAAACATAGGTGCATAAAAACAAACCTTTAAAATCATTTTCTGCTATTTCAATCCTATCAAATTTCAACAAAACTGCTATTCTTCAATTCTGTTAGAACTAGACCAAATCTTTGTAGATGACAAAATATCACTTTTCTTCCAGTCTCCATCAGTTTGCATTTTAACGTGACCCCCTCCCAGTCAGACAAAGATGTCAGTTAAAGGATTACCACAAAACCCACATTTTACTCCTCTACTCCCATCTAGGTCAAAATGTGACTCAATCCCTTACACCTCCAAATGCCAACTAAGAGCGCATTCTCAACGAGTTAAGCCAGGCTTTACAAAGCCGGTGACCTAAAAATGGTGGACGTACATGAAAGAAAAACCGCCTAATCTTTTAATAGTCTCTCCGCCTCCCCACACGTCGTCCCTGCGGGGTACAGTAATTAAATCTCGGCTCCGTTCGCCATGCGGAAGCTACCTGAGAAATATTAAGTGCGCATGCTCATCAGTTATACTCGTGGTGAAGAAACCATGGCGGCTGAAGGCGATCGAAGGAAAAAAGCTCTTCTGTTCTATTATCTTTGAAAACAGAGACGAAAAAGGAATAATTTGGCCCATAGAGCAGCAATGAATCGACTATCTACGGAGATAATATCAACAGAGATATTCACGGAAATATTAATGTTCGGAGCCGAGATTTAATTACTGTACCCCGCAGGGACGACGTGTGGGGAGGCGTGTGAGAGGCGGAGAGACTATTAAAAGATTAGGCGGTTTTTCTTTCATGTACGTCCGCCATTTTTAGGTCACCGGCTTTGTAAAGCCTGGCTTAA